GAGCGTGAGAGAGAGAGAAAGAGAGAACGAGAGAACGAGAGAAAGAGCGAACGAGAGAAAGCGAGCGAGAGAGACAGAGCGCAAGCGAGAGAGCGAGAGAGAGATAAAAATGCGATAGGTAAGAAAAAAGCGAGGCGTTACTATCGTGGAGGAGAGGAGGAATAAGAAGAGTAACAAAACAACAAAAAAAAATATTAATATGATAATACACATAACAACATACACTATATATTGTAATATTATTTTTCGAACATAGTAATGTAATGTAGAATATAATATATATATTATATTATATATTATATATATTATATATATAATATGATATTGTAACTGATCATTTCGTATAGCGCCAACGGCCGAACGAAGTGTTTGGAGTTTAAGACAGGTGAAACAAAAAACCTTAAAAAAAAAACGAAAAAAAAAAGAAATTAATTAAGGTGGGCCAGAAGCGTCGGCGAGCCGAGTGGCGCGGGGTCACGGCACATATTTTTACCAAGGTTTTTCGAATATATTCAGTCCCCCTTCGATTCCTAATATAAACGAGAACTTTAAAAATAAAAAAAATAATAAAAAAAGAATGGTCACGTACCCGTGCGCCACTATCGCTTCCGTGCCGATTTTCTTAGCTTGCAGCCGTCGATCGGTCGTCGAACAGTTTATATTCGCGTCACGATCTCGTTGTGTTCAAGAATGTATAATGTCTTCAGGAAAAAAGATGATAAATGAAAGAGATGGAAACAAGAGAGTGAAACGAAGGCATCGCAAAAAGATAACAAGTGAATTAATGAATTGTAAAATTAGTAACGCGACGAATATAAAAGTAATCGCGTGGTGAACGATATTTCGGAAGTTCGATCCTCGCGCGTTATTTCATGTCGCTGAGATTTTGAATGTTGTTAATCGCCTAAATAGAGAAAGAAAAAGAGAGAAAATATTTGTAAGTAGAACGGTTAAAAGAGAGAAAAAGAGACAGAGAAAGAGAGAGAGAGAGAGAGAGAAAGAAAAAGAATGAGAAAGAGTGATGAGAGAAGGACAATCCTCGTTGTTCCAAATCGCGAACGTTCGGCGACCGAGCTACGACATATTTTCAATTGGTCGAATCGGAGAATAAAACGAAGGAGTGACGTAGATGATGCTGTAATGATATTAATGTCGACTATCGTCGATCGGTAATGAAGGAATCTAAGATATTCCATATACGGCTATCGTCCCCTTCGAATTTCATTCTTCGACCTCGACACTTGCGTATCCTAATTTTTCAATGTCCACGAGAGGACGAAGAGTCGAGCAGAAGCGTGTACAGTGGGGGTGGTTGGTTACTATAATATGAATAAAAAAAGAAAGAGAAAAGGAAAGTCAGTTTCCTGATCCCAAACTTCCTTACCGCTCTCCTTGAGAGAAAAAAAAAGAGTGAGACAGTAAAAAATCCTTCGATTCTAATATCCTCTCCTTCCTATTTTTAATGCTCACTCACTCACATACTTTTAAAATATCGACATAAAATGGGAACAGTCGACAAAAAGAAAAAGAAATAAAGAGAATACAAAAGAAGAATAAAGTAAAAGAGTTTTAAAAAAAGTGAGAGAGAAAGAGATAGAGAGTGAAAGTGAACGAAAGAGAGAAAGAGAGAGAGAGAAGATAAAAAATAATACCAAAAAAAAAACGATGCGTTTTTTTCTAATCTTCGCATCAAATTGTTTCATATTCAACGATAACTTTTGTAATACATGAAATTATTAATGCTAAATTGTATTTTAATCAAATGCACTTATGTTTCAAATATACAATATATATGTATATATATGTATATATATATACATATATATATATATATATATATATATATTATATTATTATTGGCCATCAAACACAAATCGAACGAGCGAACGAGCGAGCGAGAGAGATAGATAGAATGATTAGAAAGAAAGAGTAAGAAAGAGAGAGAGAGCGAGAGAAAATTCCATCTCGTCGAATAAAGTTTTTTTGCGATAAAATATAAATTACTAATACAAAATAATAGATCATTTTTAATATTATGTGTTTCTTTTTCATTTTTTTTTCTTTTTTCGTTTTGTTTTTTCTATACAATTGTTACATATATATGTATATATGTTTTGTTATACGAATATACTAGCATGTTGAACTTGTGGTTGAAGAATCAAGAACTAGATTAATTATCTATTTTTTGCGAGGCACAATCTGCTCGTGACGGATTTGTAGCGAGATATCTTTCATTCTCGAGTTAATTTCTTACGTGATAATCTATTATTGTTTTATTGTTTTAAAAATGAATGATAAATAAGATAAATTGACACAATGGAAGAATGAAACGAAAGAAAGAAGAGAAATTTATTATTCATTTTGTTTCATTAATTTTTAATATTGTATTCAACGAGAATAAAAATAAAATTGAAAGAAGAAAAGAAGAGTAAAAAAGAAACAAAGAAGAAAATGAAATGTTCTGCATGTGGCGCTACTGAAATCAATAAAAATGTTAGGTCTCAGCGTTACAATTCTCATGAAGAGACAAAACGGATACGAGTTTGCGCGTTACTTTTAATAGAAAAAGAAGAAAATTAAGAAAGAAAAAATGAAAGAGAAAACTGTACGGACTAGAGGAAAAAAAATTAACATTGTGATGTTTATTAATCAAATATGTCAAAAGAGAAAAAAATGAAAAAAGAAAAAAAAAGAGAGAAGGCCCACTGGTTGAGGCCCGACATTTCTGAGTACACTACATAAATAATAAACATTATGTAAAATTTATAAGATGCTCTTTCTTTTTCCTTATATATAATAATTATCTAGCAGATTATTAAATAATATTGAAAAATAAAATTCTGAAAAAATAAAATTTTTTTCTATTTTTAATTTATTTTCTAAATATATATATTATATTTATGTAAGTTGTCATCTTAGAAATATATTTTGAAACCGAGAATATAATATTTAAATTTTTTAGATTAAGAATTAGTACATAATGAGGAAAAAAAATGATGAAAGTAGATACAATTCATCCACATCTATGATTAAGCTAAGAGAAAGGATAGACAAGAAGAATAAATATTGGAAAAGGATAGAGATAGGATAAAAATTCGGGAATCAGCACCATCTTTAGAGTGCCACAAATGAAACACAGTGAACAAGGATAGCAAATAATAGAAAAAGGATAGATATAGAGTAAGAATTGATAGTCAGTGCCATCTCTTGAATATTTACTTTATTTTGTTTTTGAAAAAATATATTTAGTACTCAAGAGATGGCGCTAGCAATTAATTCTTACTATATCTATCCTTTCTTTGCTCTCTTTATCTATATTTATGTTTTATTTGCGGCACTCTAGAGATGGTGCTGATTGTACAATTTTTACTCTATCTCTGTCCTTTTTCCATTATTTACTCTTCTTGTTTATCTTTGCTCTGCAAACTTTATGCATTTAAAAGATGCATAAATTTTCAATATTTAATTATTTTATCATCTTTTTTACCAAATCTATTGATTAAAAATCTTAATAGAACTTATTTATTTTATATTTCTATATATAACATAGGATATAAAATTTTAATTAAATTTTATTTCTATTTTGTCTACTTCGTCTAGTTAATATGTCTGATCAATAGAACTATTCTACTTATTATTAGAATTGTCGTAATATTACTTTCAAATATCTTATTAAAGAATATATAAATCAATTGATTTCATTAATTTCAAGTTTCATATATTTTTACTTATTTTTTATTTATTGAAATACTAAAAAAAAATTTAATATAAAAATAAATATTTTTTATTTAATAATTAAAATTATTTTAAAATTAATTTATTTTAATTAATAATCTATTAAGTATATTGAAATTTAATTAGAAATATTAAAACTTTTTCTTATTTAATTAAGATTATTATTTATTATTTTAAAATAACAATTAACATTAACAACAAATAATTTTTATATACTTTTCTCGATTATTGCATTTTAATTAAACGAAAAAAAATATTATTTATTTATAGAAATATTTTATTTTTCTAGTATTTGTTTTAACTTCAAATTTTTCTCACCTTTGATTTTAAGTTTCCCGAAATTTGCATTTTCAACAATGAGAACATATTATTGTTGATAAGATAGATATATTAATCGCATTTCCCAGCAAATTCTAGCGCACTGCATCTATGAACTATGTATGCAACAGTCACGATTGGTGCAACAATCGAAGTGCACATGCTTTGACCAATCGGATATGATTTTGCTCGTGGATGAGACTACGATCCGTTCCAATGCTGTTCACCTCATGCACGCGATTTCATGGCGGTAATGCATTGATAAGATGCGATTGCGCATTGCCGGAAGCTATTTGGCATCCATCATGTTTCCATGGGTATTTCGCATGAAGTTAGCCTCAGTTTTGACCGCCTATCAAAGTTAGTAATTCATTTAACTTAAATTACTAAGAAAAATTTTTGAATAAGATTAAAAATATTTCAAATATTTTATGTATATTACATATAATGTAAATAATAAATATTATTTAATATATTAGTTTATCTTTAAATAATAAATATCTTTAAATAAAATTTATTTATGAAAATATTTAAGATTTATGATATATTTATTTCAAATTTTTGTTAGTTCTGCATGAAATTAAAGCTGAAAAAAATGAGATAGATAAAAATAAAATGGAAATTTAATAAAATCTAAATCATAAGATTCATATATTCATCATTAGAATATTTTTATCGATAATGACTTCTTAATTGATTTATACTATTAAATATTTTCTATAAAGTTGATTATAAGTGCATTTTTTAAAGTTCATTTAAATGTTTAATAAAAACAATTTAATAAAAAAAGAATAGTAAATAATTTTTAAAAATTTCAAAGATAATTGAAAAATCTGAACAAATTGTACTATCTAGTAAATAACTAGATAGTACTTCATATATATGTTTCCATTTTCGAATTTGGATATGCGTTCTTAAATTCGTAACCGTGTTCTCGCAACTATAGTAATATAGGCGTACTGCGAATTAATCCGCGTGCAACTTCAAGCCTATGCAGCCTGCGAGATCTTCCATAATGAAGATATACGTAAGCAATATACATACGTATGTGCATTGTAAGCCGTGTTAACTATTAGAAGATACATCGACGAATTTCAGCTGGCGCGCGAACTGATCTGGACCTGTCTCTGGATCTGTGTAGTGCAAAAAAAAATGTGTCGTTGCTCGCCGCGCAAGTGGCATTCGAATTCAGTGTATTCGACGTGGTCGACGATCACTTGTCATCAGGGAAAACCTCGAAAGGACGAAGTCGGCAAGATTTGAGGCCGCTGATCGAAGTATCTGATACGTATACACAACGATCGTGACAGCATACATAGACGAGGTTACATGGCGAGTTATTCACGAGGGCGATCCTCTCGACAATCCGAGTGAGTGATACAATTATTCCTTTGGTAGAATAAATCTTCCTCTGATAGAATGATTCAATTTGACATACCTTTTTTGTCATCCATTCTTGATTTTAAATTTTTTTTATTTTTACAAATTGATTTAAAATTTACATATTTTTCTTCTTTTCTTGAATTTGATTATAATTTGTCACTATATAATTTTGTTGTTGTATAAATTTAATATATATAGATAGTTTGATTTTTTCGGTTGTTACGTGAAAATTGATCATTCGATCGAGGCTATCACAATCCACTGTGATGATAGAAAGTTACGTCAATCGATATTTACAATCGTTGATGCATCTCCGTGTCACGATCAACAATCGCTTTCAATCGATGCTTTTACTAGTTGATTATCGAAGATTATGATTCATATAATCGATGAGATTGCAATCGTTTGTGCTGTATGATCGGAACATTGGTAGACATTAAATCGATAAGCGCGTAAATGTGCAATCGAAACAAAATTTATACAATTTTTATTTATTTGATATTTAATTTTTATTTGTTAGATAATTTTTTTCAAATTATTTTATACGAAATATTATTTTTAATTTGTTATGTTGATTAGAATAATTTTTTTTTCTTATAATAATTGATTTATTATATATATTATATTATATATAATAATATATATATTATTATATATATTATATATATAGATTAAGTTTATATTAATTTTAATTTTTTTTAATAATGTTTAAGTCATATTATAATTATTTCAATTGATTATATTAATATTTTGTTATTGAGATTAATTGAGTCTTTTTTTAACATCTGTTGAAAACATATTTTGTTTTTAATTTAATTATATTAAATGTAGAACTTAAATATAGGAAATATTTTATGAAGTAGTAGTTTTAAAATATTAATCAAATAATTTAAAATAAAAAAAATGAATATTTCGAAATATTTCTGATAACATTCTTTAACCAATATTGATTTCCAAACCTGTTACACAATAGGCGGTCTCTGATATTGATCTGATTGTATCGCACGTGTTTTCCTGTGTAATCGAGAAAATCATGAGCAGATATATTTCTAATTATCATTAATAATTTCATAATATACATTAAAATATATCTAATAAAACATTATATATTTTGGTAAGAAAAAAAAATAAAAAAAAATTTTTTTAATTTAATGAACGTTAAATAAATATTTGAAAAATAATATTTCCTTCTCTTACGACTATAATCTGTATAAAATTAATTAAATTTATTCCTTAAATATTTAAATAATTAAATATATTATTTAATAGTTTAAATTTTAGAATATTATCTTCCCTTTTCTTATCTTTCCTTTTTTTTATTTTATGTATAGTGACACAATGGACGATGATATTGATGACAAAGATGATTCCAAACGGTAAGCATTCAATTATCAAAAATCAAAATATTAAATTAAATGTGAAATATCTTTTTCCTTTTTTTTTTTTCAGCAAATCACGTAATCTGAGCGAGAAGAAACGAAGAGATCAATTTAACATGCTCGTAAATGAGCTTGGTAGTATGGTCAGTTCGAATACGAGAAAAATGGACAAATCGACGGTGTTAAAGTCGACAATATTGTTTTTAAAAAATCATAATGGTATGTTTTAATTAATTTTATTTTACCGAAATTTTTAACTATAAGTGAAAGAGATTATATTCAATATTAATCCGATTGATCACGATTATATCTAATTAATTTTGAAAAAAAGATTTCTGGAAAGAAATTTCAATTTCAATTTTGAAAATTTGTTTTTCTTATAATTTATTATAGTATATTATATTATTATAATTATATTAATTTTTTTGATTAATTATTATTAATTCTGAAGTTTAAAATGATACAGAGATAGCTGTTAGATCAAGAGTACATGAAATTCAAGAAGATTGGAAACCATCTTTTCTATCAAATGAAGAATTTACACATTTAATACTAGAGGTATGTTTATCACATTAATTAATTATTAAATTAATTATATTAAATTCGATTATTATATGCAAAATTGCATTCAATTTAAAATGTTATGTTTATTATAAACTTGAAATTGTATTTTTAATTATTGTGGTTTAGAAACATTACAAGTAACACATCATTAAAATTTTAACAATTAATAATATGTTGATAAATAATTTATCAATTGATTGATTTAAACATTTATTTTTTTGAAAGTGACTGTTAATAAATATTATATTAATCAAAATAATATATTAATGAAATAAATAGAAATTCATGTTTTGATTTGATTCAAAATGATCTCAAGCTTAAATAAAAATTTCTAGAATTAATATCACTGATCAGTATCACAGTATCATTGATCAATATGGAACGAATCTCAATGTTACATTGATTCAAGGTTTTTTATTATTAAAAACATAAATAACATTTCTTGAATGTAGGCTCTGGACGGTTTTATAATGGTATTTTCTTCAAGCGGGCGCATTTATTATGTGTCTGAAAGCGTCACATCTCTTCTTGGATATCTTCCAAACGAGTTGGAAAATACGACCGTTTACGATATCACGTATCAAGAAGACCAATCTCCTCTTTATAATGTACTATTAAATCCTGCCATTACAAAAGATCGACGGAATATCAGAGAAGGTAAATCTTTGAAAATAGAAAAATAATTATGTTATAAATATTATTTATATTTATATTTATAGAGGACAAAATATCTTTTTCGTGTCACATTAAAAGAGGAGGTCAAAATATTGAAGAAAATCCAATATACGAGCTTGTGCAATTTGTCGGATATTTTCGTATGTAATTGACAATTGTTTATGCAATTTTTCCATTAATATTGATATTATTATCTAATATTTAATTATAGGTTCTGATGTCGATACAGAAGTGGATAATCTGCTTCCTAATACAAAATTCGGAAATACTACTGGAAAAGATACAAAGTAATTTGTTTATATTATATTATATAATAAAATATATGACAAAATTATATCAAAAATTATGATGTAAGATAAAAAGAAATAATTCATTTTTTTATATCACAATTTCGATTTGTATTACAATTTTTAAATCTAATCTGTATTTATGAAGGAATAAGTACTACTAATTATATTTAAAAATTTAATAATTAGTTTATTTTAATAATCATTATTTTTAATATTACTAACGATTTATCAATAAAACTTATGTTATTAATCGAATCGTGTTGCAATAAATTCATTTGTGTTTTCTTAGATTGGTTTTCGTGGGTACAGGACGCCTCCAGACGCCTCAATTGATTCGCGAATTATCTGTGATGGACAATACGAAATCGGAATTCACTTCACGTCATAGCCTCGAATGGAAATTCTTGTTTCTGGATCATCGAGCACCACCCATTATCGGTTACCTACCATTTGAGGTATTGGGTACCTCTGGATATGATTATTATCACGTAGACGATTTGGACAAAGTAGTTACATGTCATGAATCACGTATGTATTAAGACAAAAGTAAAAAAAAAATTGCTGATGCATCGAAATAACAAAAAATTATTTATAGTAATGCAAAAGGGTGAGGGAACTTCCTGTTACTACAGATTCCTTACGAAGGGACAACAATGGATATGGTTACAGACTAGATTTTATATTACGTATAATCAGTGGAACTCAAAGCCTGAATTTATCGTATGCACGCATTATGTCATCAGTTATATCGATGTGATCAAAGAATTGCGCAAGGAATCGCAAAGTTTTAATAAAGAACAGACTCAAGACGTTATGATGTCAGTAAAACAAGAACAGGTAAATCTAGAAATGAAAAATTAATTATACAAATTAAAACAAGCATCAGTCATTAATTGCATATTATCGAATTTTATATAACATTCATTAATTCAAATACGTTAATGTTCAGGTAACGACATCATGTCCAGTTCCTCCAACACAGTGGTCAACAAAATCATCCAAGACATCGAAATCGATACCTTCGAATACTCGACCGAGACATCATGTCGAAAGCTCTGACAGTTCGTCAATATCAGCCTCTATGCAAAGTTCACCTCATTCGCAGATAACGCATATTTCACGTTCAAAAGGTACATCTGCAAACAATTCCGTTGCATCGAAGACTCAAATGCTTCAAATAGATACTAGGCATCAGCAGCAACAACAACAGCAATCTCAACAATCTTTGTTGGAAGTGGATCAAAGTTGTATTAATTTCATGGAACATTCACAGTATGCTGGAGTTAATTTGCAATCCGTCAATACAGATTTTGAGACTCCTTCCGTGCCGATTATATCTTCATTACCAACGCAAGAGGTAATAGCATATTTTATGATATTTCTGGAATAGAATTTTTTTTTTCTATAAATGTTTTTAATTTTAAATTTTTTATTGGAGTATATAATTGGATCTTAGAAATAATACGTTACATTTTTCTCTTTTGTTTCAAGAGTACGTACGTGTAATTTCAGATGTTACATCAGCAAAATATCGTAATGACACCAGCGCAGAATCAAATTCAAGACGAACTGCAACGAAAACATGAAGAACTGCAACAATTAATAATGCATCAGCAAGAAGAACTGAGAAAAGTATCGGAACAGTTGCTTAAATATGGAATTTTATCACTTAATGTGAGTTTAATTAATTTATTCATCAATTTATTCAATAATTACAAACTTAACAAATTTCAATTAATAATTTCATAATTCTAATTCTATATAAAATATATAATAATATAAATATATAATAATTCTATTATAAAAACCTAATTCTCATCCTAACTTATTACTTTATTACATAATTATTACATAATTTTATTACAAAAATTTTTCAGATTTATTATCCAATTCACATGATGTTTCTTACATTATACTTCCATTATAAAAGTACAATCCATTTGATAAATCAACAAAATTTTTTTAGACGGGAATGCCATACAATGCCACCAACACGTGTCAACAGATGAACAGATGCAATACAACCAATTCGAACGTTCAATTACCAACATCAAGTAGTGTACATGGAGTGAACGTTCTTCCTCTTCCCATCACCGTTCCAATGCCTATAGTGCCTATAGAATTCTTTTCGCATTCGTTAGCAGTGAGTCCAGTGCCAACAATGTCTGGTTCAGCTCAAGGTAACGTAGACGCGATGATTCAGCCTCAACAACAGTCACATCAACAACTGCAGCATCAGCAGCAACAATCCCAACAACAAGGACCAACTCAACAAAATGGTAACCAGCCTGATCTCGTGCCTTTTCAGATGTGTCCGCATCAAGCGGACATGTTGTATAACGAGATGGAATCAGCCTCGAATCAACAGAGATCATCACAGAATTAAATAAATTGAATATATATTCGTGTTGAAATTTATTTATCATGGAAGTTGGACTTTGAAGAGATATTCGGTAGAAGAAAAGGATATCAAGGGACCTAAATATTTAATAATCGTTGTGAAAACGATATAATTTTGTAATTTCGCTTGTAATTGCAATGGACACGAAGGATTTCATATTTTTATACAAGTGAGTTGTACAAAAAATATTCCGTCTAGGGAGCAGTGTTATAGTTAGAACGCGAATTGGACGGATTTTGTAAGTAATCTTTCTTTTTTTATTTGATATTATTTTATGATGATTTATTTTATTTTATAAAAAGATTAAAACTTTTAAAATTTATTTTTCAAATTTATATTATTTTTTTTCCTTCCATTGTAAATGAATCTAGATTTGATAATTGAATTAAACATTTTCATTACAATATATCAAATTTATATAATTTTAAACTTTTATCATTGAAAATTTTTTTAAATAATTAATTTTTTTAATTAAATATATTAGAAAAATATAAATGTAATTAACTATTAATTTAATAACATAATTATAAGTTTGTTTAAAAAAATATCATTTATATTTGAGACAAGAAAAAATTCAATTCTTCTGTAATATTCATTTTGCAATATTATTTTATATTATAATAATATAAAAATTTTCTTATGTTGTATTTTCATAACATATCCGTCCAGTTTATATCGAAAATATCATAATAACGAATCACTACTTCCGTTATTTATTTGTAATCAATATTTTTATTTTCTACTCTTCGAAATATTGATATTTATATCTTGCAAAGGGCCATTTTATGTCTCCCATATCATATATACATATGTAAAAATTTTGTATAAAGTCTATCCACTCATCGTTTAAATTTGAAATGGACGTGATAAGAGACGATAGCTGTTTAATATGATTTACAAAAGTACAAAACATATTTGTAATTGACTAGTTTAATAGAAAAAGTGCTATATCGCAATATAAATAAATTTATAATAATTTATACTTTTCAAGTTCTGGAAGAAAAATTCAAAAAATTCAAAAAATTTGAAATATTAAAAAAATTCATAATGAATAACATGAATCCAAGAATACAAACAATTAATTAATTAATAGAAGAGAATCAATATTTAATAAAGTGTTTTAAATGTTAGTTTATTTGATAATGATATAAAAATTCAGAAATTAATGCAAATATATTTTTTTGATATATATTTTTTTTTCCTTTGAGTTTTTCAATTAAAATTTTTGATTAAATGCATTTTATATTCCAAATATATGCCTCAAATGATCAAGAATCAACAAAGGAAGTTACAGATAATAAATTAATTTCAAATGAATAAATTATATTTTCATTTACGTTTATTTAAATCTTAGAATCTCAGTCAACTTAAAATAAATAAGTGCTAAAAATCATAAAAATTATAAAAATCTAGAAATAACAACAATGACTTCCTAAAAATATTTTACATTACTGAAATAAATTATATTATAATTTTTAAAATCGTTACTCTTTAAAACTATTTATCATCAATGTAACTTTCATTATCAGAATTATTTTTTAATCCCAGCATTTTTATGGAGAATAGAAATTTTTTAAAAACAGGGTATATTTACATACGTATATATATGTATGTATAGTTAACGAAATGAAAAAGTAATATATTTTGTTGTAAATGTATCATGAATATTTGTATGTGTCTATAGAGGAAAGATGTGTGTTATATCCGTGAATGTCGCATCAAAATCAATATATTTTATGATCGTTGTTAAATGGATATACATTAAGATAGAATGAAAATTATATGCTTATTTTCTAATAGTGAAAAAAAACTTTTAATTTTCCAAATTTCATATATATATAGTTTAAAATTAATTTTTGAAATGTCATAAGAATTTTGAAATTTTTTTTCAATTATTTTACTATAATATATTTACCAATTATAATATTTTTTTCTTAATTTTAGATTATAAATTATGAAAATTTTTATTCACTATTAGAAATGAATAGCAAAAAAGAATTTTATTTCATTCTATCTTATTATACATATACAATAGAACAATATACAATATAGTATATTGAGGAATTCATATACGTTTCTATTAACTGGACATGTCATAATGAATGTGTCTGGCTATGACTATTACATATTAAGACAATAAATTTTTCCCCAAAAATGATTGTATATGATAATATAAAAATTTTAAAAATATATACATATCTAAAAATATATACATATAACGTGCAAATAAAAATTATGAAAAATAAGTGAAATTATTACAGTAAAATTCATCTTGAAATTATTATTTATTCTCATTCATTTTATAATTTTTTTTTTACATTAAATATTTTTTTTACATTAAATATTTCATTAAATATAAGTATTGCTTATATAATCTTAAAAAAGAAATGAAAGTAATGTAAGCACAAAGAATTTTTTAAAAATCAAGATAAAATTTTTATACTATATTATTTTTCATTTTTATCATTTATTTGTAAGGAAATCTTTATTTTATTTTATTTTATCGAATTTCGTATATTTTTATATTTTTCTTCATCTTTATTTCCACTTCAATTTGCTATAAAATTTGCTATTAAATTTTATCAATCGGTTAAATCAATTTTATATAATTTTTTATAATTAATTTCTATTAATCTTAAGAATTAATCAATTATATAAATCACAAATATAATATAGAAATTAATCATGAAAACTAATTTATTATTTATTATTTAACATATAAAAACATTTCTTTTCTTATTGTTTCTTTTAAAAATTGTTAAGTACTTATTATACTCATTAAACAACTTCTAACTCAACTTCTTCTAAGTTATGTTATAATAATATCCTACGTAATACATTAATATGACGTGAATAATCGATAAAATAACATATAAAAATTATTGCTTAAATTTTCTCAAAGCATCCATCAAAATTTGTACTTCTTGATTCACGTTGTACACGAGGCTCTCAATTTGATTTTTGCTATCGATTATATTAATGCTTTGAGTGTACGAGTCATATCTTACCGCAAATGATTTTGGTATAGTCTCAGTGAATTTTCTGGAATCAAAAATAAAAATTGTAAATCAAAAGAAAAGTATTATTTTTCATTTAATAAGTTTGAAAAAAGAATGTTATTTAATAAGTTGTAATAAAATTTCTAAAACAGACCAATCTTTATAAAAAATAAATCTCAACCAATGTTTCAGTTGATTATATAATAATATTCTAATTAAGAAGAAAAGAAATACATAAACATTTTCTAAAAAAAAAATTATAATTATAAATAAAAAAAATTTTTATTTCGTTTAATATTCCATGAAGGATGGATAAAATATTGTTTTATCATTATTAACAAAATTATCGATTGAATTGAAATATTACAATTTAACATAATATTTATATTTGTGATGAAATACGTAGAATAATTATATGTAAAAATTATATTGAATTAAGAAAGTATATAAGCAATTGAATCTTATTTGAATGTATTTTAAGACTGATTAAAATTTTTATTATAGTTTGATCAATAAAACACATTGTCTATAATATAATATATTTGAATGAAAATTATATAACTCATATAGTATTGCATTATTGCATAATTAGTCATCAGTATCAAAAAATTGATATATCTGATAAAATAAAAATAAAAATTTAAATTTTTCTTAAATGATGTTGCAAATTTCTTTCGTTATCAAAATGCAAATAATAATAAATTAATGTTTTTACTTAATACTTGAACATTTATTAATTATTTATTTATATTATTTATTTATCATAATTCTTATCTATTTATGTTATGATACATTACACATGATTATATTCTATGAAACTTATTTGAAATAATTAAAATTATACGATTAGAATAATATAATAATCTGACATATTAATTTGCAATTACAAATTTAAGTACAGAATTTATTAATAGTAACATCGTTTTATCGTATCACTTAACACAAACACTCATAAACGATAAAATAATCATTATAGCTGAAAAATTAGATCGTTTTAATTTTATGTACTTACATCATTTTCTGTTTAGCATCTTCGAAATTTTCAGCGACGAAATAGACAGGTTGATATTCGGTTATTGGATATTTTTGCAAAGCTGTGTTCGCCGGCTCGAATGGTCGTAATTCTGGTTTACCGCTCAAACAATACTCGAGTTCACCAAAAGACGAAAGTAATCCAGCACCATATGCTTTCAATTCACCATTTTGCCGGCATAGACCGTATTCCACCGTGAACCAGAAGCACTGAAAATAAATTTTTTCTTCCTATAATTCCTATGATGTGCTATTGTAAAATACAAAATATTGAGGAAAATTAAAGATAGAAGTGTAAATTTAACGAAGACAAATATATGTCTAACTTTGAAAAATATTTAAATATAAAAATAACGTGAGATAAATACTAAAGAAACTTTTTTTAATGTCAAATTTTTCAACAAGAAAATCTGAATCCCGACCAATACTTTCTTTAATAAGTTTGACGAATAAAATATAATTAATAAATAGGGTGCAATTAAAAAGAAAAATTAATCAGTATCAATTAATATACAAAATTTATCCAAATTTCAAAATGAATTAATTGTCATTATCACCGTGGCTAATTTTTCGATGTATTCATCAGGAGCACCGAGAGAAGCCAATCCAACCACTTGACAAAATTGCGCAAACGATGGATCGGCAAAGAGAGGCACGTGACCTAATACTTCGTGGCATATATCTGGTTCAGGTGTGTATAATGGCTTACTGCTGTGCCTAATGTATTGCGTGGAATGAAATACTCGAAAAGCCAGACCAGCAAGAAAATCTCGCGAAGAAAGGAGACCAGCAACTGGTCTGAGAGTGAAGCCGGTACAGTCTAAGCAAAAATATAAGAATATCATAAAATGGAAAGAATATGATGTAATATATAGTAAAATGCTAGAAATTATTATTTTTGCCTTATATTAAATACTAGCATTAAATACTATCGAAATATTATTTTTCATTTTATAAAATAATTATATACCTTTCAAAAAGTTTGATATGTCTTCTAATTGAGGAATATTGTCCTCTCTATAGCCACAATTCTCAATCAGAAGAGGGAACACGTGATTATGCTCTTTGCAGGCATACTTGGGATAAAGCTTTGTTAAGTTTCTAAACACCGTACCCCACGTCTCGATCTCTTCTTTCGTGTATTCTACTCTTGGTATTGGTTGGCCACTAATAATATAATATTATTTGTAACCTTTGTTTGTAAGTGTTTGTTAATATTTTTTGAGACAAGAATATATATATATTTTTTAATAATTCTTCATTACGAGAATTTTATATTGAACAATCTTCGATTATTTCAAAAAACGAAACTTACTGTTTATAATTGTAAGCAATGTCGGCAAAGTATTTACGCCGTTGTCGATAAACCGGATCCGTGAATCCAGGATGATCGCTGTCCAATTCCGCTCCATAGGAGAGAATTTGATTCGCAAATTTGTCCAAATCCCTTATCCTTCGTGGAAACCATGGTACAGTTCCCATATTATCGTTATGATTTCTATAGATACAAGCAGCAACGTTGTAACATAAGATATAGAAGACTTCCTGTTTCTAAGTATCCAAGAATCATCATTTCTTTAAAATACCTTGAAATGATCGAGAAGTAACTACATTGCTCTCGAAGCTTCTCGATCACCGATCCAAGGTCTCCATCTGGCGCACACTCTACCATAAACTCGTACACATTAGGCTGGCGAAGGGAACTTCTAGATTCGATATGCAACAGATTAACTTCATATTCCTGCAAATATGATGGCCAGGTAAGATTATTATTAAAGAAGACGAGTTAATTTCAGATATCTACAAGCGTGATCGTTTAGTTGAAATTATTGCGAAAAGAATGGAGCGATCGAAACTTTTAAACATGATATTGTCACCTTTATTAAATAATTTTAATTTTGAGTGGCATTGATTATTTTCGATTATTATTTTCGAAGAACGAAATATGATTATTTTAATTTTTATGTATTTTATTTTATTTTGACCATCTGTTCATTTTTAAATAAAATGATAAAATGATTTAATATTAGTTGCTGTGTTTTAAATTTTTGCAGTTGAAAAGAAAATCTCATTTGTTTATAGCGGTTGTACGTGTACTTGATACACTTACTGTAAAAAGTTTGAGATATTTGGCCAATGCTCCAACTGAATCCTCTTCTTTAGGTGAGAATATCAGGCAAGTACTTTTTGCAGAATCCCGACCTTCCTTGATGTAATTTCCTCCATGCACCAATTTAGGCTTTTAAAAATAGTTATATAATATTAATAAAATATTTTTGTATTATTTTTATAACGTTATTACTTCAATTAAGCTATTTCAATTACTTTCAATTTTGTGAGATAATTATATTTATTTTAAAAAGTACAAAAATAATGAAATCTTAAAGATATTTATATGTTTCTCTTTGTCTATAATCATCATTAATAATGTAATTTCGAAAGAATTTTATCTTTATGAATAAATCTTATTAAATCTTATTAAGCAATGAAATTTAAAAAAAAAAAGCAATTATATACTATATTTATCTCTAATTATCTCATTTTGAATAAATGAAATGAGAAAAGATTGATATCAAATTTATCATTAAAAGTAATTTATTGTAACTTTATCTTCGTGATATAATAAAAAACTTCCCTATATTATGTAACATAAAAAATTATTATTAAAATATAAATAAGACAAAGAGAATCAAAATATTTTTTAAAAATTGTTTAATTGGTTAAATATTAAATATTAAATATTAAATATTAAATATAAAATTATATATAATTATTATTTAATTTTATTAAAAATTGAAATTTCTATTTAATTTTTATAATTAAATACATGTATAATGAACGATTACGCAAATATGTATAAGTAATAAAAATTTTTTTTTTTCGTTTAATTAAAAATATTTAATAGATTTTATTTTACGTAATTTATTATTATTAATATAAAAATTTAATAGATCACATCACATTCAATTTTCAAAAATCGGATTCAATAAATTTGCATCACAAAAAATATATACACATATTATATATACACAAATATATACACCTTTTGAACTTGAATAACAAGATAATGCACTATATTTTAAAAATAAAAAATAAGAAATTATATTAGAATTATTATATTATATATATAATAATAACAAAAAAATGAGAAAAATGGAATAACTATGAAAAAAACTCTTTATCCTTACTTCGCACATTATGATCAAATATGATTCAATATCACTTGAATAAACAAAAATGAAATTCTTCCTTCACGAAACACTTTATTCGTTTATCCGAAGATAAGTTTAGAGAAACTATGCTTCGTTAATCTGTTACCCGTCTACTATATATGTCCATGGACTCCCCCTCCCTCCCTCACCACTTTCCTTCGCTATTCTACATAATATTATCCGACATTTTATGGGAGAATTAACGGAATATGTGATTATCCTCCGAATTATCAACTTAAACGCATTGAATCATTTGGGAAAATTATATCGATACGTTATCGATAAAATTTCCCGAAAATAAAAATAAAAATAAGGAAAAATCACAAAATATTTCAGAGTCATGCGTAATTTTTTGCTTGTTTTGCATCATAATTATTTTTGAAGATGTCAAGGTCGATTTTATTAATTGAAACGTTTCTTCGAACTCGAATGTAAAGAGATACGCGTGCTTGATGTGGATTGTAAAAAAGATACAATATGCTTTCTCTTATTGTGCCAATTGACGAGTGATATGGGATAAAGAAAATTATTTGCGGTATATTGAGATACAAGTGAAAGTATATACATAGTTTGCAATAAATTGAAACGAAAAAAATCAGAATGAATATTTTTAATATTTATTTATCGTTGTTTTTAATATTTTGAAAAAATTTTTCCCAATTTAATGCGTAAGAAATAGTTTCTTTTATCAAATTAATTTTTAAATTTTCAATCAAAAATCTATTTAACAATTTTTTCCATTTAAAAATTAATATTAAATAAGATGATTCAGTCATTGGAATTTTATGATCATTATGTTTTTAATAATCGATCAAGATCAAGATTAACTTGATTTGATCTTAGATAATCTTGTTTATGCTTTTCGATTTTTCAAGGTAGACTGGTTTCTGATACGACACTAGGACCACGTGATTTCATTAACTACCAGTATCCTAACATTTCTGTATTTTTCCTTAATTATTTATTATTTCTATTTTTCAAATATTCGAATTATCATATTTTTCTACGTGATAAAAATATATTTTGTTAATCTTTAACGTAATATTTATACATAACAAACTTGGTAATGAATTTATTACTCATTAAGCTTATTAAGAATATCATTAAGCGAAACTATTATGAAACTAATAGAATATCTTTATCGGGAATAAGAAATTAATTCAAAAATTTAATTTACATTGAGATTGTGCATTTTCCTGAAGACATATAGATAAGTTAATTCATTAATTATTTTTATATAAATATAAAAAAAATATAAATCTTCAAAAAAATTTGATGTTATTCAACAATACATTTTTTAAAAATCTTCTTATCAATCTTCTTATCTTATGCGCGAATTCAATTACACATATATTAGGGAAATACAGAAAAATAATTAAATGATTATATAATGTTATATAAATAATTATGTAATATATATGCGTTGCAAATTATGTTATTTATATTATGTTTACATTTTATATTATATTACATTATATTTTATTTATGTTATGTATTATAATTACTGATTTTTATAAATTCATTAATATTCTTATGGAACCTAATTATCAACATTTATACGAACTTTTGAATTATAATTATAATTTTTGTTATATTTATACTATATTTTAGATATTATATCATATTATTTATTTATTATATTTTATATAATTTTCTTCGATATTAAATTCTGTTACTATACATTTTAAATATACTGTATGTTATTTATATTTATAGACAATAAATTAAAAAGTTCTATTCTATTCGCTAATAAATAAATAAATAATAATTTATTATAACTCCATATTAATTGTCTTAAAATTTTTTAATTTTATAACATTATATTTCTGGAATATTATTATTATTCTAGAATTTTCATTTTGTAATTATAATATAAAAAATAATAACACAGTAATGTAAATTAAGCTTATAAATATTGAAGCTTAAAAATAAATACATATCAACAGTTCCTCTATATTATTCCAGATTACGTTCGTATAACATGTGTAATATGACGAAACAAATTTCAATCATAATAAAAAAAATATTTCTTTTATAATAAAAAATAAACAACATAACTCTATATAACAGTATAACTCTATAGTACGTTATTATTTAATTAATTTTCCAAACAAATGATAAATAAATAAATTTTTTTCCTTACCTTATCAGGAAATGAAAAAAATTCTTCATCTGAAATGGTCGATTGATCTTTTGGTATAGATTTCGCATACATTTCGATGAAAATTAAATTTTGTCAAAGGTTTTTAAAATCGAATCGTGGTGATCACGATTTTCACAATGCAAATGTCCTAATGCAACTGGTTCTTGTTGCGACGTGCTTAACAGTTTTAATAAGATGCCGCCACAAATGTTCTCGATTGAATTGAGATTTAAATATTTTAACGCCAATATTGCAAAAATATGTATGACTACTTCATAAAACGATATGGAATGATTGAAACGTATAATTTTTTTTTTTTAAATTATTATCAATAACGTCAATGATTGATTTCATTATTTGTATTTATTATTATTAACTATAATATTTGATTTAGAATTATTACTATTTATGTAAAGACAAAGATTTCAGATCTTTCATTTATTAGATAGAAATTGAAACTGCGCAGATATTCTTGAAAATTTTTCCAACGATATGAAGTCAAATAAATATTAATTAAGAATGAATTGAAAGAATATTTTTTATATCTGTGAAAACATTTGAAAAAATAGTAATAAAAGGTAATTTAAAACAAAAAGAAATACAATTACAATGTTGAATGTAATTCCAAATAATAAAGTTTAAATGACAATTATGAGAATTCCTCATTACAAGTCTATTTATGAAAATATAAATAATAATATTTATTTATATTTAAACATTTATTATATGTATAAAATTGATTTGAATTTTTTTCGAATTCTCGAATTATGAAAGTTTTTGCTATTTTTGTAATTCGAAACTCTCGAAATTAGAAGATAACTTGCATAAGAAATCAAAATTTGTTCAAATTTTAATTCTTAATAAAAAAATAAAACATTTTGAGTTTCGAGAATTTCGAGAATTTTGATAAAAATTCACACAAAATTTCTAAAAAAATATACTTCAACCGATTATCACTTTAAAATGCATCAAACAATAAAAATCATCAACTATTCAACCATTTTTTCCCCTCTCATCAATTCAAATATCAATTATATCTAATCAAGTCACAATTCCTTAGCAACAAAACGATCAAACACGATCTTGATATTTATTTCAATATAACAAACTTTGTGTCATTGAAAAAGTTGACAATTTTTAACCTGCAAAATTAATTAATTATATCATTACGAGTCATAAAATACGCGTTTATAAATCAATTTAATTTACTTAAGAAAATCGTTAAACGATTATTATCGGGAAATACAAAGAAAAAATCTTGAAAGAACGAAGTGAAAAGCAGAAAATTGTCCATAAAGTTTTTCCAACTGCTTTTAACTTCGTCTCATTTCTCAATTCGTAATAAAATTAATAATATGTAATCAAATCAATGTAATCGAGCAAATATTTACCAAATATAAACAAGAATGAATATTCGAATAATTTTTGATCGGGCATCGTAAAAGGCCGCCCTATTATCAATGTTTGACCCTCAAGTCGCTTCTTTGCGATAGGTTAACATTGCTGCAATATAATACGAAGATGCTTGTATCGGTACCGCAATAAAGTGGCGATAATTCATGAATGATCTTTGCACCAAGAAGAGAAAGAAACTCGTGGAGCATGGCTAGTGGAAAATTGTGTTCGAGTTGAGTAGTATGGGAGAAACTTATTTTTCGAGAATAATATTGAATCGGGGCGAGTAAATTGAGAGAATTGAAATATTCGAGGGAAATAAATAAATAAAAGAGGATTAGAACGTATATTCGATAGGATTTCTGGAGATGTAGCGATGCCTTACTATTCGGTAAGTAGCACTTTTATCGATGAATATTTTTCTTTTTGATTTTCTGAAAATTATTTTTTTATAATTATTATTATTATTATTACTTTATTAATTTCGTGTTTTTTTTTCTTCTTAAATTTCAATCAAATCAAACTTCTTTCTGATTAAAATTTATTTTTATTATTTTATTTCTAATTGCTATGAAAATTAATGTCTTTTATCATCTTAAAGCGATTTAACGCCAAATATTACTACATCTCTAAGAGTATTATCTTTCATTCTTCTTAGAAGACGTAATATTAAAAAATTATCTTCCATCCGTATCTTTTATCTTAACGAGACTCAATATTAAATTAGAATATCGCTAAAATTGTTTCATGTTTTATTGAGAAGATTCAATGTTATCAAAATAATTGTAAATTATTCTCCAATGAGATTAATATTTTTCATCTTCTTGAGCTTTCTTTTTAAATTATAAAATTATAAATATTTTTGAATTAAAATTTTCTTTCTAGGCACGAATACGACAGAACCGTGGTCGATCTTTCATGGATTGTCCTATCTTAAAAACAAATCGATTTGCGACTCGCGTCGTTGCACCATTGACAAACGCTACAGAAAGATTCTACGAAAGTAATAACGTGCAAGATTCACGGTCACCTTACGGGTGGAAGAAACGAGTAGGAATAAAACGAAGATGGCCCTCGACTTTTTCGCTGGATGCCTTGGAGGTAGATAATTCATTTATAATTGGTTTAATGTTTCGTAAAAGATAAGATAATTATATACATTACGTATATTATATTAGAGACCTTGCTACAAAGTTAATAATTTTTTTAATATTATCGACAAGAAGATACCGAGATATAAAATTCAAAGAAAGATGCCATTATGAAAATTAAACTCAATCTATTTTTTCTTCGACTTTTTCTATTGCATCCATCTATCATAATATTGTTAAAAGATAAAATGTTAAAAGATTTATTTTCATCTCGAAAAAATGAAAAAATTTATACTTATTCGCGTTTATTGTCTATTATTATATTTATTGTCTATATTTTCTCCAATCAATAACGATAACGATGTTTATCGCGAAGAAAGTGACCATAATTGATTGACAACTTTCTACTTGGATTGGATCGAATATTATCTGAATAAAAAGAAATATATTGCCTTGTTTCCGTAAAACTTTTATCAACAGATAACGCAGATGATTGAAAACACGAATCAAAATGGAATATATCTATTTTTAATTTTTTTTTTTTCTATAATTGACGCGATCCAAAAATATTATTGTTTATTTTTGCGAAATATATAAAATCTTCGTATGTAGACAATACAATATTCGGGTAATTTTTTCAGGATGCGCTGGTACTTTGGTGGGACATCCTTTCGATACCATCAAAGTTCACTTGCAAACGCAAGACCATCGGAACCCGAAGTACAAAGGCAATTGGGATTGTTTGCGAAAGATAATCGCAAATGAATCGGTATTTGATAAATAAAAATCAAGGAAATTAATAATCAGAGATGCATGTTAATTTGAAGCGAAACAAAAGTTGTTGATCATAAACATTATTAACTTCAAGAATCGTTTAAAATTATAATTGGTATTAGTTTTGATTATCAAATGAAAGGAGAAGAGGAAGTACAGAAATATAGAAGAATTTCTTTTTTCCAATATATTTTTTCACATATTTTTTCTGAATTAGTAATTCGAAAAAATATTTTATTCATAAATGCAAAAGACTTAATCATCACTTTTCTATACAAAATTTATTTCTTTTTTTATTAAAAATCCTATCCAATCAAAAATCTTATTAATTTCAAATTATTATTTCTCTTCTATCACGATAAATACTATTCATTCACAAATATCACATTCACAATTCTAAACTAAAAATCTCACTAACTTCAAAAATATTTCTCTTTCATCGTTAAATATCAAAAATTAAAATCAAATCTCAATTAATATGTTTAATTGTCTCAGATAGCAGGTGTCTACCGGGGCATGTCATCCCCAATAATCGGCGTGTCATTGATAAATGCCGTGATCTTCGGCGTGTATGGTGAAACCCAGAGGCACATACCGAATCCAAACTCTCTAACATCCTGTTTTATATCTGGTGCCATAGCTGGCTTCGCTCAAAGCCCGATCTGCAGTCTCATCGAGTTAGCGAAAACTCGTATGCAGCTTAGTTCTTCGACTGGTCGACCTTTCAGAGGACCGTTGCAGTTTTACATGTACACGTACAAACACGAGGGATTGCGAGGTCTGTTCAAGGGACTTAATTGCACATTTATGAGAGAGATTCCAAGCTTTGGTCTATATTTTCTCACATACGAAACTCTAATGAGAAACCTCGATAACAAACCTGTTCCGACAATTTATATCCTGTTGGCTGGAGGATTAGCCGGCACCTGTTCTTGGGTCACAACTTATCCCATTGACGTGATTAAATCGCGAATACAAGCTAATGGAAATCGTTATGCAGGAATATACGACTGCTTCAGACAATCCGTGAGGAAGGAAGGTTACTCGGTCTTGTATAAAGGTATCAGCTCGACAGTGTTACGTGCGTTTCCTATGAATGCTGTCACGTTCACTGTGGTCAACTGGACATTCAAATTGTTTGGCGAAGATGAGAAGAAGAAGTCGAAAACCACAGAGTCTATCGGTGAGATTTCAGAACCGTGCGAAATACTTTTGGAAAAATGGAACAATTTCCTAACGAGCGCATCCCGAAGTATGGTTATTCATAGGTTATCGTATTCCACGCTGTCGTTGACATCGATGAACGAACCGAAGCTCGAGTGGGGCGTGCGCAACAGGCGAATAAAGGAAGGTGGTAAGAGCGGGGAATGGGGGGATAGAGGTAATAGAGAGGAGAAAAATGAGAAGACAAAGATGTCCAAAGAAAGATATCCAGAGAAGTATGACGAGAAGAGAAAAAGTTAAAAGTTTAAAGTTATATACTCGTCTCGATATACCTTCCATATGCTGATCGATATGCTTATTATCGATATAATCGAGTTATCGAGAAAAGTGTGGTAAAACAGGGTTTCGATGGCTCTTATGAGGAATTTTGAAATTTGTATATTTCTCGAAAAATAGTTCTTTCAAAAAGAAAGAAAGGAGAAGGAAAATGGAATTGTAGTGGTAGTACATTGTTAGTTTTTAAGGGATCGAACAGTGATGTGCGATTGGATTGAAAGTGACTTGATATAAGATTTATATAGTGTTTTATTACAGGAGATTATGATGGTTCCATGGTTGTCATCTTTTCTATTAATATTACTTGCTGAAACTATTTATGGACTCTACTGGATCGAAATATTATATAAGAATTTAATTTTAATATATATTTTTAATATATTTATATAATATTTTTATAATATATTTAACTTTTATATTTTTATCGTCAAATAAGTATTGACGAATATAAGATTTGTAGAATTTTATAGAAGATTGATAATCTGTGAATTATTACTATAGATGAATAAAATTTAGTTAATTATATATTACATAATGAGTTTTATTTAATTTATTTCCAAATTGTGTTACAACCAAATAACTCAGAGGCTTTAGTACAATAATTCATCAACTAATGGTAACTTACGAATTATAGGTTATAGAACATTTTTTATAATTCTTATATTATAATTTTAAAAATTTTACTGTTATATAAGAAATTTTATCAATAATAATAATTTGTTGTCTTATCGTATAACTACTCATGACAGATATATAATCATTTAAACGATTAATAATTACGAATGACTTTCTTCACGCTTACATCTGAATATATAACTTTCAGAATATTCCTAATTAAATAATTAACGTATGATTAAAATTTCTAATATTACTCATTTTCGTTCAAATTTAATTTCTAATAATCATAAAATTATTCTCTCTTTGCTTAACAATATAATGTTCGATCGATTGTATAAAAGCCAATTCACAATTCCAACCCTCGTCACAATAAAAACTGTCATGAATCTTGCTATCGAAGTGCTCATTTGTCAGAAGACAGTCCTAGACTGAACGGCGGACATGTAAGACCTATGTCACAGCCAGAGGCGACATTTACTCTCTTTTAAAATCACACAAAATAGTTTGTATCTGACTGCCACCCATCTACTCCTCTCCACTCCGCATCGTTTTCCTTCTTTTTAAATCTCCATCGTACAATTTCCGGTCTTCAAGTCCGTCCGTCCACGTGTCATAATCATTTTTGACACATACGAAATTGAAACGCGTATAAGTATCAATCAAACTACCTTCCCCCACATCGATCGTGCGTATCATACTCGACTCGTCGTGTGGTATCAATAATATTCGGGGTACGTAATATCGTCAAGATAAAAATTTCGTAAAAATTACGGCGTCCAATTGATCAAAAGCATTGACAAACGCGGGAAACTCTAACCTCTTGGACGATTTGAAAATTAACGAAGTCGCAAGTATTCTTTGTTCCACAGGTATGATTGTAATTTATTAATTAATCAGGATTAAATAATACAAACAATATTCAATAATATCAACAATGAAAACGATGAAAAAATAACTTTTAAAAAAGAAAGAATTAACTATTTTGTTAGGTAATTTCTATATTACATATTAGTGATAATAATTAATTACTAACTACTTACGTAAAAATGATAAAATTAAAAAATAGTATTTTGTATTTTTTTCTTATTATGATTACCTTCTTTTTATTTTTTTTTATAAGTTATAAAAATATATAAATATATAGAATTTATAAGTTATAAAATTAATACAATTTAGTCAAATTCTCAAAAATGATCGCTATTCTTAAAGTTATATTATTTGAAATAATTTGATGGAATTAATTATAATATTATAATATTCAATGGAATAATGACAACTAAATGATGGAAACTGTTAATTGTTAAAATAAAAGATGTGTTTAGAAAATTTTCAAGCATCGTATAAACGGAATCGAGTAACGTGTATCCCCACCTTTGTCGTCGCGGATCCTCGACAAGATTCGTACCCGAATTTGGAGAAAATTTGATATGGATGTAGACTCAAACGAAAACAGCAGGGATATCGATCTATGCGAAACGAACACTCAACGATTGATTGCCGAAAGTGGTGGCCGATGTATGAGCACACAAGCTATGCAATCGCTTTATGATTTCCGACAGAACAATCTTCTTTGCGACGCCGTCTTGAGACTCGAGGATGGAGGCGTATTTCCAATTCACCGGGCCATTTTGTCAGCTTGCAGTCCATATTTTAGGTCTTGTCTAGTATGAGTTCAATCTATGCCTTAAATGACATTTTCTCTTTATAAAAACTTTAACTCTTTATTAAACACTTAAACAAAAGTCTGGAAATGTGAAAAATATAAAATTATAAAATATAAAAAATATAAAATTTATATATTTTTTTTTTTACTTACTTTATATTTTATATCCTTATATCCTTATATCCTTTATCTTTTATGTCTTTATATCTTTTAAAATTTATTTTATATTCTTAAAAATCTAGAGTAAAGTTTCATCATTTAATAAATTTTAAAGATTAATAACTGAGAATTTGTATACGAAAAATTTATTTGCTCCTTTTTTTTGTTTTTTGTTTTTTTTTTTTTTTTTTTGCTATTCTTCAATTATAAAAGATTAAAGAAATTTTAGTTTCAACTAAAAGTATAATTATCGAGCAATAATATGATTGCATTTTCATGACATATTTTTCCTTCAATAATTCTATTATTTCTGTTATTATTATTTTTTACAACTCGAATATCAATCGTTTATAGAACTTTATTCACAACCACATTACACTCGCGTGAGAAAACGGATGTCCTTTTGCCTGGTGTCAGCAGCAACATGATGAATTTACTCCTCGAATACGCTTACTTGAGATCGATCAATGTGAACAATGAGAACGTGTGCCAGTTGCTGGTCACTGCCGATTACTTGAATATCCTAGGTGTTCTCGATTTCTGCTGCGAGTATTTGAAACAAAATCTGGCGCCTGAAAATTGTATCAGTATCATGAGATTCGCCCGGGAACACTTTTGCAAAGGATTGGAAAATAGCGCCTATCGCTATGTCATGAGACATTTTGTGCAGGTTATTTTTTCTCGACATTTACTTTTTAACATCTTTAAATTAACACTTATATTACTTTTTTTGAGATTAGATTAGATCGTATGATGTTCATTACATTTCTTTATAAAAATATTAAATAATAAACAATATTACATAGAATTTATCTAATTAATATTTTCTTTACCACTAAAAGTAATTCAATTCCTCTGTGAATTTCTTCATAAGAAGAATATGTGACGTCACAATATCCCCACTGCTAGATTAAGCAAAGTACATCACGTGACACGATACGACATATTGGCTTTAGTAGAAACCTCATCACGTGATATATCTCTAAAATATTAGCGAAAATAATATAACATAATTAAAAATAATATAATTAAATATATAATATAATTCTACTCATATTGCTGTCATTTTTCGTATTCGAGGAAAGTGAATTAAACGACTAACTTTTGTGATAGCCATGGTATCTTCTATCTATATAAAAGAATCATCAATATGAAATTATACATTCTTCGAAATCAAATAACTTCTTTTCTGTTAAAACTTCTTTTCTGATAAAAAATAGTCACAGAATAATTATAATGCAAAATACATTGATACAATTGATATAGGTAGCTCAACGGAGCGAGGAAATCCTCGATTTGCCGATTGAAGAGCTAACGACTTTAATCGGAGCCGACGAGCTGAACGTGAAAAGCGAAGACACCGTTTGGGACCTGGTATTGAAATGGATTGATTACGATCCTCAATCGCGGAAGGATTATATCGTAGATCTGATGAAGAATATTAGACTTGGCTTGTTGGATACGCAGTTCTTTCTTGAGAATGTGAAGGATCATCCGTACGTTACCGGGAACGAGGCTTGCCGGCCGATCATAATCGAAACCTTGAAATTCTTGTACGATTTGGAAATTATCACGCAAAAAGACGGAGAGGTACCGACGCCGAAAATAGCACGTCCGAGGGTACCCCATGAAATACTGTTCGCTATAGGTGGATGGAGTGGCAGAAGTCCTACAAATTTCATAGAAACCTACGACACCAGGGCGGATCGATGGGTCAAGGTGAGTGTAAAATGGAATAATATTAATATTAATATAATTTATCTGTTAAATTTTTCTTTTTTTAAGTAATTTTGAAAGTAATTGGAACTGGAGTCTTATTTCTCGTTAATTTCGATACTTTTAAAATCTTGATGCTGTTGAACAATTGAACAATTGTTTGTCTTATTAATATTTAATCTAACCTTAAATTTATTTTAAATCTAAATTTAACTTAAATCTATTTAATCTATTTTAATTTAAACATAATCAAACATAATCCTAATATGTATTTTTGCGTATATTTTGGAAATAATGATTTTAATAATATAACCTTAAAATCAATCAGGTAATCTCTATTCTGAATAATTATCATTTGTTTAAATAGATGTTATTGCGTTTCATTAAAAGTTTAAATGAAAGATGTTGTTATTAATGTTATTAATCGAAAGATCTATATATTAATATAAGTGATTGAAAATCAAAGGTGGAAGAAGTAGATCCGATCGGACCTCGCGCGTATCACGGAACTGCGGTAGTCGGTTTTAACATTTACGTGATCGGTGGCTTCGACGGTGCTGATTATTTTAATAGTTGTCGTTGCTTCAACGCTGTTACTAAAGTGTGGAGAGAAGTTGCTCCAATGAACGCCAGAAGGTTAAAAAAAATACAATAGATAATCCCTATCTCTTATTTCTTTTCATTTAAATATCCATCTTCTTATTTGAATATTTATCGTAAATATTAAAATTGAATAGTAAATTTTCTTACAATTTGTTAATATTTTATAAAACATCAAATATTTTCAAAATGTTCGTTTTCAAAATTCAAATTATTAATATAACATTTCGGTTTACAAAAAACCTATTTGTACACAATAAATATTTTTCCGATTATTTGAAATTGTAGGTGTTATGTTAGTGTTGCCGTACTCAACGATTTGATTTATGCAATGGGAGGATACGACGGATATTATCGGCAAAACACTGCAGAACGTTATAATTACAAGACGAACCAGTGGTCTTTGATAGCACCTATGAATTGTCAAAGATCTGACGCCAGTGCGACTACTTTGAATGGTAATTCTGATAAAATATATTTTGTTATATTATAAATTATATATTATGAATTTTCTTTTATTCAATTCTTAATGTTTTGCAAAAATTATAATTATTTTTTTATAATATAGATAAAATTTATATCACGGGTGGATTCAATGGACATGAATGTTTAAATTCAGCAGAGGTGTACGATCCAGAAACCAATCAATGGACTATTATAGCTCCAATGAGATCACGTAGAAGTGGAGTATCCTGTATAGCTTATCACAATCACGTATATGTTATTGGTAATTATTCAAAAATTAATTATTATTTAACTAATACATTTTGAAATTAAAAATCTCATTCTGTAAAATAATTTTTATCTTATGAAGGAGGCTTCAATGGTATATCAAGAATGTGTAGTGGTGAAAAATACAACCCTGCAACGGATGTTTGGACACCAATTCCGGATATGTACAATTCACGCAGTAATTTCGCAATCGAGGTGATCGACGACATGATTTTTGCCATTGGTGGATTCAACGGTGTTACCACGATATATCACGTCGAATGTTACGATGAGAAAACGAATGAATGGTAAATTTTTTAAATTCTTCTAATTTTATTTTTATATATATATATTTTCACAAACGAAATAATAATAAATTTTTTTTTATTTATCATATATCGTATAAATTTTTATTAACAAATAAAATTTTTTTCCATAATAATATTTGAATTATTAAATTATATCTATTAAATTTATAATATAAGAAAAAAAGAATTCAAACTCTGAAGTCTTTGCTGTATCTCAAAAATTAATTTCACAACAACTATCTTTTATATACATCATCTGAAAAATCTAAAACAAATTTTTTTTTTTATTATTAGAAACTTATACAATTTTGATTTTTGCTCTACTTTAATACATATATCCAAATCTATTCAATTTCACGTTTTCTACAGGTACGAAGCAACGGATATGAACGTATATCGTTCCGCGCTCTCAGCGTGCGTAATCATGGGTTTGCCAAATGTAAATGATTATATTCACAAGCACCGCGAACGTCTCATGGAGGAGAAGCGGCAGAAACTGTTAGCACTAGAGGTGCACCGCAGTCAACATCAACCTCAACAAGATCAAATGCAACAAAATAGTGAAAATTCGCAATTAAGCAACGAATTACCTATACCACCACCACCTCAGATGCCTCAGAATATGAACACTAATAATGAGAATCGACAAAATTGAAAAAAATATGTATTTTGAAAATATTATGTCGAGACTATAGGTTTTAGGGTCAGACGGACGGACGGTAATTAGGAGCAATAGAACGATGAATGTTCAGATATTAATTACCCTACGGTTATGTTGAAAGAAAATAGCGAAAAAAGTTAATGGCAAGTATATTTTCATATGTTTTATATTTTCGATTCATTAATGATTGCTTAAGATGTAACAATAACTCAACAAGTGATAGTAAGATTATCTCTAAATTTATAAAATTTATAATACTTTTTGAAAACAATGATAAAGAATAAGTAAGAGTAAAAGTTAAAAGTATAATTCTAAATTATTTGTAAATTTTATTTTATAATAGATTTATAAAATTAGGAAGAGAAAAATTAGAAATTTTTTCATTGTTAGTTCATAAATAATTTTTTTTTATTGTAAAATATTTTTCTTTCAATATAACCGTAGTTTATTTTCAAGTTTCGAATCATAAAATAAATCGTCAGAGATAAGAAAATGTAATGATAAAGAGATTCATGCAGAGTTAAATATCCTGTTCTCAACAATAATGGAGGATGATTTTTGAAACGAAATTTTAGGATCATTGTACTGGAATAAGAATGTGATTTGTTGAAACAGGATGATATTTTCGGATTCGTGTTTACCGGAATTTTATTAATCGGGACACGTTTTATTTTTATACAAGACATGTTTCTATTGGCTGTTTTTGTGATACAATTTTGTACGAAGTTTATTGGAAGATTTTATACATATAAATGAATTTTGAGAGCCGATTATAATAAAGAAGAGAATGAAAGAACGATTTTTGACATAAACTTGTTATTGACACTAATGTTGACAAAAACTGCTGAAATGGAACTTTACAACAATCAATAAAAAAAGTATTGGTAAATTACATAGTTTTGGTTTTCTGTCAATATGTCTTAATATAATATCTAATTATATATAAATGCGAATAACTTTAATACATTTAAACAGTATAACCATCAAAACGAAATTAATCTATGATCTCAATAAAAAAATATAGATAAAGAGAGCAAATAGTAAGAGAAGAATAAAAATAGAATAAAAATTTCGAAATCAGCGCCATCTTCAGTCGCAAATGAAATACAAAACAAAAGAACAAATAATAAAAAAAAGGTAAAGATAGAATAAGAATTAACTATCAGCGCCATCTTTTGAATATTTTATTTTGCTTTTAAAAAGATATATATTTTTGACATTCAGAAGATGGCGCTGATACCTCAATTTTTGTCCTATATCTATTCTTTTTTCATTATTGCTCTTTTTACTTTTTTCCACGTTTGGCTTACTCTTAGTGCTTAACCACATATGAAACATGATATCAATTCAATTCACATTATTTTAATATATAATAATTATAGATTTTTTTATATTATTTTATAAATTTCTAGTCTATATTTTTATTATTATGTTTTATAATTTATAAATTTTCATAATTTTAAACATATGTCATTAAATGATACATTTATCTTGTATAATCTTGTATTTTATCTGTAAATTCTTATATATATATATAATGTCTGTATGATTCGTATAATAATTTTATTTATTATTATAACGAAAAATTTTATAAAGCCTAGAACATATTCATTAGATATATTTCAAATTAAATAAACTAAAATAATTAAAAGTATATCTAGGAATTTTTATTTCTTTATTGGTCAACATGAATTGTAATACGTATATTTGTTAAAAGGTGAGAATAAGTTGGACACTGACTGATAACGGATAAGTATAATCGCGAAGTAGCCGTCAAATGTATAATTATTGTTGGTGATAAATTCAATGTTTTGTAAATTATACAAAACAGTGACAGAATGGTGAAGTAAAATTATAAATAGAAAATGGCGAAAATCGTGAAAGGATTGGAATCGTTATCTACAATTTTAATATGTGAATATTGCGCTAACCTTTCGTTCAAGCAAATAGAAGATTTTATAAGGTGAGTCCATCTATCTATTTGCAATAAAAAAAAGTTGTAAAAATATCTTAGATAATTTTTTACTACTTTGCATAGATCATTTTAAACCTTCAATATATCTTATTCGTTAAAATTCGTTCATGTTTTAATTGTATGGTTATTGAATGTAATAAATTAATTATTTAAACAAATATTTTTTTGTGAATTAAATTATTATTAGAAAAGATATTATAATGAATGACGTCATTAATAAATAATATATATGTAATTTTATTTCAGACATTTAAGAGATCTTCATTGCTCTAGAGAAGGAGGTTCATTTGTGTGCCTTTATGGTTATAATGGAGTATGCACTAGTCTTCCTGTGGAGGGTGTTTCTGATAAAGATTATGTAGCACATGCCACTAAACACGCAATAATGCAACAACAACGTAAAAGCAATGGTCAATTATCAGAGCCCTCTTCCTCATGGACTGTGTATTCTGCAGCACAGAATTTACCAGCTGTTTTAAATGATCCTTTCAAAGGAAAACAAAGTAACTTTTTAACTCGTACTTGGGGAGATGGATTTGTAGAAAAAGTTGATATACCTAAAAGTCCTTATCTTCCTGAGATAACAATGCAACATTTTGAATCATATTTAAAGAAAATTGCAAGGGTAATTAATATTAGTAAATTTATTTTAAAAATTGAAAGTATATTAAAATATATATATATTTTAAAAAAATTGATTTTAAATCAAAAAAACTTTTATTTACAGAGATATCGAAAACATTCTCGTATGAATTTAAATGCCAATAGACCAATTACACCTAATGAATTGTTACAAAATTTTCCAAATTTAAGAAAAGTTAAACCATTAGGTAAAAATAATATTTATATTATTGATAAAATGATATTATTTTATATAAAATTCTTAAATTAAAATTTTACAGATCGAATGCAATTTGATTTATCCAATATTCCAAAAATTTTTTTAACACCTAATTTAGATCTTTCTCAAAAAGATAATTTTTATGCAGTATTTCCATTTACAAAAAATGGATTATTAAATGAAGATTCTAGTATTGTTATAAATGTAAAGCAAATGCAAGAAAAGGTAATATTCTCATATTACTAATATTTTCATAAAGTTCAAACATTAACATAAATATATTTAATTTTTACTTGTAATAGCTAAGTCATTATTTAGATATTGTGGAAGTTAGAATAGCAGAACAAGTTGCTTCTAAGTCTCAAGCATTTTTTCATGCTATGACTTCTCATGATGCCTTAATGGAGCAACTTACTCAAACTATTACAGTTTTAAAAGCCCTTAGAAAAAATATACACCAAGTTGATAAGTATCTAGTCAATGATTCTTTAGAAATTTTAAGGTAAATTATAAATTATTTTATATTTTTTTCGAATATTATATATACATTAATTTGAATGTATATATTTTCGAATAAATATATTTTCAGGTTGGAACGAGCGAGATCCAATCGATTGTTAGTTCAAGAAAAACTAAAACTTATGGCTACAGTACACCAAAGTCAACCAATGATACAATTGTTGTTATCTACACCAGATTATGTTGCAGCATTAGATCTCATTGCTACAACGCAAGAAATACTTTTACAGGAATTGAATGGAATACATAGTTTTAGGTATTATCTATATAAATAATATAAAGCTGATATATAATAAGATATAAAAATTAGATGTATTTAATTTTATTTTCTTAGGCATTTAAGTTCTCAATTAACAGAAATGGAAAAACTTGTTGATAAAATGTTATCTACGGAATTTCAAAGATATGCAACTGCAGATTTAAATAGACCATTAGGAGGAGAAAATACAGTTTTGGATGGTGTAAGTATATGTAAAATTTTTAAAAATTTTGTATACTTAGTTCGTAGCAAACAAACCGTCGTGCATCTCTTCCCAGTGAGATCATTTGTACATCCTCAACGAACAGGATAAACTTATTTCCATCATTTCTGGTCTTCTGCGGCAAAAACATTTTCAATTTGTGGATACTTACAAAGAAGAAGCTGTGACGACAGTCCGAGCTGTAACAAAGCAAAGAGTTATAGAAGCTTTAGCAGAGAGTGATTGTTGTAGTGATCAACAAGCTGCAGCTTTAGAAGTTGGTGGACTTTCTCTTGCGGAAAGATTAACTTTACTTCATAATGCTATACAATCTTTAACATTTCTTCTAATGCGAGTTAAGGTATTATGTTACATTATATTATAACTATGTATTATAAAAATATAAAATTATTATTTTATATAAATTATAATTAAAATTAATTTAATTTTCTAAATATAATTGTTTGACATTACATGTATTTTTAGGCTGTTCATGATGTAATGCGAGATACAGTAGATCTTGCAGCTGGCCGAGTGTGTGATGGATCATTCGATGATACGATACCTGATCGTTTATTAACTCAAGCAGAACATTCGCGAGTAACACTTAAACTCAATGATATGATAACTTCTGTTTGTGATTATTGTCATGAGCGAATGGGAAATCTGCTTTCTGCAGGTACAAATGATAAAGATAAATTACAAAATGAAAAAGAAAAATTTAACAATGAAAATTCAAATAACAAACAAGAAGAAAAAGAATGCCAAAATTGGAATGATAAATCATCCTGGTTGAGTAAAAGGGCAACAACAGCTCAAGTATGTCAACTAGCAAATTTAGTTGAAAAGTTCACAGAAACTTGTGAAAAACTTTGTGGTAAACAATGTACTGGATTACGTTCTGCATTTAAGGTATGCATTATTCTTAAATCTATTTAATTGAAAAAATTTTATATTTATATTTTGTAAATAATATATTTATATATAAATATATTTTCATACTTCATACTAATATAGGCACAAGCTAGTAAATTTATTCAAAGATTTCATACTGAACTCAAAACAAAGCTTACTCTTTTATTGGAATCTGAAAGATGGAAACAAGCTGATGTACCACCGGAATTTCAGTCATTAGTAACATATATATATGAAAATAAAGCTTTTCCACCAAATTTATTTAAAATTGATGATAAAGTTAAAAAAAGTAGTATTCAAAATTTTATTATGGTGGGAAATGAAAAATATGCCGTTGTTGGAACAGCTTTAATGCTTACACAAATGATTCATGAGTATTGCAGGTAATTTTTAAAATATTAAATGTATACGAATATTTTAATTTTATAAATATTTCAATAAATGCTCAATAAAATTTTATTTCTAGAACTGGCAGTGAATTAATTGCTTTATCAGGAACAATTGGAAGATATTTAGCCGAATTACTGCGACATTATAATTCACGTTGTTGTCAACTTGTTCTTGGAGCCGGCGCTATGCAAGTTGCTGGTTTAAAAACAATTACCAGTACAATACTTGTATTAGCGGCACGAAGTTTGAAATTAATTTTGTGGTTTATGCCTTTTGTTAAATTACATTTTCAAGGTAAATTTAAATATATTTATTAAATATTAACTTATTATATTAACTTATATTAAATATAATTATTTAATATTAACTTATATTACAATTATAATATTAATGATAAAACTTATTTATAGCATTTGCGGAACAAAATTCTAATCGTGGACTTGGTGGATCTAATATAAGTGGTGGCGTTGCTTTATTGGATAGTGTTGAAAGAGATATTCGTGCGCATGTGAAAGAAATTGAAAGCAAAATTCTAACTATTGTCGACAATCTATTGGGGGGTCAAATATCGAAATGGACTGCAAGACCGCCAGTACCATCGAAATCATTTAGAAATATTTCTAGGTACAGTATTATATAATTTAATTTTTTTATTTATTATAATCATTAAATATTCAAAATCGTTAATTACAGTTATTTAATGAAATTACATGAAGCAGTTTCGGGAATTCTCCCAGAAGTTGAAGTACAAACTTTATATCGTACAGTAAATACATCT